TTACTTTCTCCACACCCGTCCTTGAGACGGGACACTGGTTAACCCTAGCTTGTGGCTGCACTATTTGCCCCATAAGGAACTGAAAAAATTCCTTGGAATGGAAGCTCCATCCTCAGCCAGGTTCTCGATTCTTCTTATAAGACCTGGCCCAGCCCTGCCTGATCTGCCCTAGCACCCATTCTCATTATCCGGTGCCGTGATGCATGAGAATCTAAAGAGCATTGCTTTCTTGGTCTTATCTCTGCAATTACTTGAGTCCAAACGCTTCGCTCCTCAACTGTCCTTAGCAGGTTGCATTGCGAAGGAGAGATGTGGAAAACGAGGTACAGATACGGACGATTTAGCGTGTCACCCCAAGGTGCAGTGTGTGTCACGATATTTTACATGTTTGGGTTTTTTATGGTGCAGTTTTCAAAGGTGGTCCCTGGAGAAAGCTGTAAATTGAATCCAAGCACTAGGAAAGGGACACTGAAAGGTTTTTGCTCCAGGTGATCGAAATATTGAGGGAGCTACTGGGAGCAGGGATCCGTTGTGGAGTCAGTTTACGCAGCAGCACTGACATAGTTGGTCTGTAGGGGAGTCTCTACTCCAAGGCCAGGTCTGCATGGGTGGTGGGCAACATGCTAGGTGGGGGGAACGCAGAGCCACCCACCCTCCCTGTGCTCTGGGCCCAGGAGGCTGAGACTGTGCCTGTCTGGTCCCCTTCCCATGGTGGTGGAGGGAAGTGGCTTGGTTCCTGGAGGGGGCAGGGTCCCAGAGGAAGGGCAGGCAGAGCTAGGGGGTTGCCTCCTCCAGTCCTGCCTTCACCCACCACCCATGCAGGTCTACGTTACAGGGGAAGATCGACTTAAGAGAGCAACTCAGCTAGGTGGAGGGAGGGGAGGGACTGTGCGTGGGGAAGGACTCAGGGCCCTACCCAATGGCTGCAAACATGCGCCCCTCCCCCCTGGCCCGATTGTGCAGGACTGGGACGCAGCTGGCAGCCGCTTTCCCAACGGCCACCCCCAGCCCCGCCCCC